ACCCTTTATTGCACCGGAAGTCTTCCATACCCGCAAATTTACTCAGAAATCAGATGTGTATTCTTTTGGTATCATTACGTATTTGATTGCTACTGGTGAACCACCTTTTAGAGATAGGCAGTTCGATAGAGATTTAGTATGCGATATTATGGGTGGACTACGACCATCGATGCCCGATTCCGCACCAGAGGAATACAAGAAACTTGCTGAGCGGTGTTGTGATGCTGATCCTGATAAGCGTCCAAATGCAGGGAGACTTTTTGGTAATATTCACAAACTTATTATAAGGTTGAAAACCGACAATTCTGACATATGGAATGCCGTTTATCATAACGATGTAAGACCCTTATCACGTCTCGAGAAGGAGAGTAAATATTCTAGTACACTCTTACCTACCGGAGATCTGCCTGAACCAAGAAATAGTTCTCATCAGTTACCTACATTATCAGATTTCAGCTTGCCAAGTTTAGAGGTCGAGTTAGGGAAGGTTGAAGAAGAGTAAGTGGCGGGTTACGAAGGCAACAATTGGCTCTGTTCATATAAACGAAGTCAATCTGCAATATTAACATCGTCCACTGCTTATACTCAAACACTCTGAATAAACTTGGTTATTTACGAGTTTATACGAGTTTTATTCAAGGGTTTACTTAATTACGATATATGCCAATATGGTAGAGTTAACAGGAACCCGAAATAAAATCGACGCTGCCTTTGCCGGGTAGATCATTTGAATGTATAGTAATAGCATACACAATTTATTAAAATAAATATTGAAAGCTTATGAAACTGGTAGTTTGATGCTAATCGTTCCTGAATAAAATGCGTGACTACATTCGAGCTCGGTTCACTAGACGGTGAAGCTTCATTGTCAATTTCAGCACCAGCCGGATGATGCGTGCTTCCTGACATGGGTTTTACCACATGCAGTCGGCAATATGGCAAGATTTTCTTTGTCAATTTCAAGGCGTTGATAGACGCGATAGCCACTTCATGACTAGAAATGTAGGCAAGAATACTGGAAATGCGATAAAAGCAGATCCCACCCACTCGAATCTTCCGATTGAAGAAAATCTCTGAAACTCTTGTAAAAGCTAAAACCTTGGATCAATCCACGGTATCACGCGAGTGATGAATCGAAAGGCAAGAATAGGTCAGTTTGGGGAAAAAACAGCGACATTCACGTAAATCGGTCGATATCAACTGTCGTTGTTAACTACTCTCTTCTGTACAGTTTTCCAATCTTGAAAGAGGAAATGTATTCTCGCTTTATGGAAAGCCCATTTTATCTTACCACCTTGTTGCTTGCCGGCGAGAGAATGATTAGCCTTCCTCAATCTCTAGCCGCAATTTGCTCGAGACTGTGGATGTTCGGTATCGTATCGATCAGGGATATACGGGATGTTGCGTTAGAGGCTTTAATAAGACACGGATAGGCTTGATGCTGGTGTAAAGAATTTATTAGGATCTTTTATTATCCCAATATTATGACAAATTAAACATATATTTCGGTACTATGAATAATCTTAGTCAATGCTGGTACGTCAATCCACATTTGCCAAACGCGACAGGTAAAGTTGTGAAGGATATTTACTGAAAATCTCGTTCCTGAGACAACAAGCGGTCAACGCTTAATACGATACGTTTGGGCATCAACATTACATCAAAGTAATAGTTAGCAATAACAAATTATGAGATCATTAATACTCATTGAAGGTTTAATTACATATGTCAATTAAATAAAACAACGATGGATTTTCATCTTGGCTTCTATCTGCTCATAAAGCAACAAAAAAACTCGCCCAAGCAAGGAAAAGACATCAGAATCAGGAACGTGCAGTACTTTTTGATTCCTGATCCGATGTCACTGGTGAGTTCATAAAAGTATTTTCGTGATTGTCAGAGAGATTGTGGTTACCCACCGTGATCGATTATGCAGGTACTCCTCGAATACGTGTTCTCACTCAACTCTACAACACTCGTGGTTCTTTCTGTTCAGCGATTCGACGACCGGCGAACGTGAGCTGTCCGAAGATATCTTTGCCATCAACACCGTCTATTACAAGGAAGAAGAGAAGGGGAAGGAGAAAAGAAAGTATTAAAAGTGAGAAAAAGCAGGAAAAGAAAAAAGGACGAAAACGTGAATAGAACGTTGAATGTGAAATTGTACCCAAATCTTGCGCTTGCCGAAAGCGATGGATGCGATTATGTTTTTTGGTACATCGTCGTAGACTTTCTTCTCAAATTTGAGTACGCGATCGTTCTCAGGAATTGTATCTTTCCTTACATTTATTCTCGTTTTTATCTACGCGCACAATTAAAAACCGTCTACTCTGTATTATAGATGAATCTCGTCAATCCGTTAAAAATTTCAAGATAACAAAACCAGAAGATCCAAAGCATAGCATACCGTCATCATACGCAGCGCGAAATTGGAATCGATTTTAATGAGCAACCTCCGCGCGTAAAATTTCGCCGTTAACTTGTTCTCCTGGTCTTTTGGCAACGTACCTATTCCGTGGTTCCATGAGAACACAGAGGAAGAAACCGTATGATTTCGCGGAAGGGATCAGAGCTTTGCACTTTGAGACCAAGAGAAAAAACAACAGTTGGCCGTCAGAAAAGATATCGATAACGATTGCAAGCTCACGTATCTTTTCGTGGGTACATACACAAAAGACAAAAAAGCACACAAGAGGTTCGTGGCTATCGATCCGGGAGTTCGAACCCCAAAGGAATCACGGAGGTTGGTAAGAACGATGTGCAGAGGTTGGTGAGACTTTGCTTGCATACAGACAAACCAAGTTTGGCAAGGGACATGCGATTTCTACAAGAGGCAGGATAGTGATACCGTTGCTTTATATGCCGCCTCCTCCGCTATCCAACGTGCTACTAGAACCCTGATAGTATTGTCGGCGTCAAAGAATCGATAAACGATTTCGAGAATCTCAAGAACCCGAGGAATGATGAAATCATCTTGCGAAAAAATTACAATGTTGTTGTCATATCCGCAATTCAACGTTTCGAACATGGTGAGACGAGAAACGAGACAAGATCAATTCGAAAACCGTGTTAACACGGTTCACATTACTCGTTCCGACAACGGCTGAAACACAAGGCCTGATTGGTATGAAAAAACATGTTCTGTGTGTGGAAACATACAGAATATAGGAGGGAGAAAAGTTTACAAGTGCAAGGGATGTAATGCAGTTATGTAAATGGAGCGCATTTCCTTTGCGCGTTGCTTGATGGAGCTGTATGCATGCATATGTAGGAATTGGTAATCATGCTTAGCAAAAAGACTAGTATAGACTATATTAATGATGTGTTACAATACATCCGTATATATTCCATACAAATTACAATAATGATTTATTTGCACTATTGAACTTTTATCTAATTTACCCAGCTCCGAATAAAATCCACAAGAAATACGCACACATTCAACAACCACATATCCCATTCTATTAAATTAGAACACGTTTTAAATAAGTTTACAATATCAAGTTCACATTAGAACCATAATTACATAGTATAGTAATCAATGAAGCACATCTATTCATAAATAGAGAATTTTATGATGGTGTGGGAGTAAAAGTATTTCGTTTCCAAACGGAAAATCTACCAGCCAATCTGGGTGCACCTTTTGTTGGTACCGCAGCAATTCCAGTCGCAGGTACGTTCGACATTGCCCCCTTCATTTTTCGTAGCAGCACGGATGCCTTGCTTCTAGTTTCACCGGCAACAGTGTGCATACGCTGCTGTACAGAAGTGGAACTGTTATTTCCGATGCTGAACGGAAACACGCTTTTTTGAGTTTCGTTGGAATTGTTGTTTGACCGTTTAAAAAAGGTGGCATTGGCGAACGTGTTGCGTGGTGAGAATGAAAGCCAATCGTTATTGTTGGATCGTCCATTTTGTGCTATTGGGATGTAATCTTCTTCGTCGCTTGATGCGTCCGAGTCTCCGTTAAGTTGAGCTAAAAGTCGTGCTTCACGAAGTCCATACGCTTTCTGGAGTACTATTGTGGGATCTTGAATTGGATAGTTCTTAACGAGCGAAAGCAAACAAGTGAGTACAAGAGCACGTAATTGTAAAAGAATTTTTGTGTATATATTTACCTGAAGCAATTTGATATTATCCGCAAACGATCCATCCAATAATTCGTCTTTAATACATCTGTACGAATAGACAAGTTGAGACATTGGGGTCCAACATACTAAATTTCAAAAAAAATCATTGCACACTGACCAACTTACATGATCATTGCACAGCAAAAATCAAGGAGAAATTCGAATCCACCTTCTCCAACACTACGATCGGCAAATACAGAGTCCCACAAACGAATAACTTCGGGAAGAGCAAATTCCTGGGCACATAGCACAGTGAGCCATCTAAATGCATAGTATGTAGGAAGAAGGGATTTCTGTTCCTGTTTGTTGATAATGCATAGTAGGGTTGACGTAATGGGAATGGCAAATTAGATTAGAGATAATCTCACTCTGGGGGGAAACGAAATATCGATTCGTTCATTCATACCATATCCTCCCATTGATCACGTGCATATAGCTTGAGTCTCTTGCTGAGTTTTGACATGGTAGCACCTATTCCATTGAGGTCATCGGAATCGAGAGTTCTGACAAAGTGATCCCTTATGTCAGCCATCAGGAGAGTAAATACAAAGAACGAATCTGCTTCAGCATGTGCTGTGGAAAGAATATGTTAGCTCTAAATTAATCTAGTTAAAAATTTTAAAGTATGCACGCCATTAATAATTAATGAATAGCGTTTAAAATAGCCAACCTTTTCCTTCTTCATCATCATCGTTTGCCATTGTATAATAAATAGGCCCTAGAATTTCGTTCATTCCTTGAACATATCCAATTCCAGGATTCAACTTGGCATAGATAAACAGTATCCGCTCGATAGCCTCCCAATGCAGATCAATGACATCATCATCATCACATGCAGCATTTCCAAGTGAAGGAGATCCAGGACGTCTAAAATCTTTATTTAGGTGCTGAACCCGCTTGAATATAGACCTGCGAGTGGGAATAGGCATCACAGTCTCGGTCAAAGCCGCATCGACGTCAATTGCCATTGGTCGACGAGGTGTAGACGGCACCGAACGAATTTCACTTGTAGCTGTGGTTTCTGACGTTAACGAAGACGATGTACCATTGCTGTGAGTCATTCCCAATGCGGCAACCCCATCGGTACCCAGACCATTAAATCCAACGACCGTGTCGCTATCCCTGCTAACCACACTGCTAACGTCATCATTAATGGAATCTAATGCATCGAGTATAGAAGGTGACCGTGCACCATTCAATCTGTTCATTGCTAGTGGAGCGAGTCTAGGACTCAACGGACTCAGGGGACTTTGAGGCACAGGCGATTGGAAAAAGGCAAGATCCGGGAGAGTTCGTCGTACGTCCTTGTCGATTTGCTCGAGAATTATATTATCAGCAAAATATTCTGCCCATTTTGAATTGGGAGCGGAATTCAGAGGCTAGTTGTGCGAGAGTAAAACAAAGAGAAATGGAAAAAAGGAAAATTTAAAATTCCACAAGAGACTGAAAATGGGTTGATTGGCGACTTGATAAACTGGCAATATACTTTTGGAGTATTTACATGATCGTCTTGTCCTGAAAAGCCATATTCTTCGTATGGATCCGCCAGCAAATCACGCACGAAGCTCTGGGGAAGAGGGGTAGGGGAGGGTCAATTCGACGATTTTGATAAAATGGTTAATTGATATTTAATATTAATATTTACTCGCTCTCTTTTTTTTTTTTTTTAACAGGCGATGCAAATGCAATGTTTATTCTATATACACACACACACACATCCACTTACATAATATGTTGCTCGTTGTTCAGCAAGAACTTGCGCCCATTTTCTTTTATCGGTAGGTAAATATCCTAGCAATACCTAATGTCATTTGTTCAAATGAGATAAATCAGTAAA